ATGTGGTATGATTAAGAAGTTCTGATTAAGAGCTGAGCTGCCCTCGTTTTCACTTGAAAAAGGTGAGGAAAGAGACTGGGGTCAGAAGTGCAATGGTACAAGTCACCAGGGGGACGACCTTGGCTGGTGAGGCCCTGTCTCCAGCGCTGGGGAGACCGAGAGGCATCGGCCTCTCCCTGCCTCGTGGCCCCGGGAGAGAAAAGGCGGCTGCTTCTCACACACACAGGGGTGTGACTGGACAATGGGGAACTGACCAACTGTGTCTCAGGGGGAAAGAACGGCCAGAAAGAGCCTCAGAGCAAGGTGATACTTGAGTAGGGTTTTGCAGTATCCATAGGAGTTTGTGGACACAGCAGCCAGGGCAGAGGGACTTGCAGGTAGAAGTAATCACATGTGGGAGGGAAAGAAAGTGCAGCTGGAAAACTCCAAAAGAGAAGCAGCGTGCGGACAGCACAGCTCGTGGGGCTGTCGACATCGGCAGGGCCCTGCGCCGGCTGACGGGAGCTATGAAGGTGACCTGGTCACCTCCCTGAATTTTAGGAAAACCTGAGGAAGCAAAAAAAGAAATCAGAGCAATAAACCAGGACCTGTGATAGAGGGAGGGAGTCAGGAGGTGAGAGGAACAAGCCCCTGAGATGTGAGCAAGAGGCTCGGAGACAACCAGCCTGGAACTTCATGGGTCACAACTGCAAGGGACCATCTTACACAATCCCTTCCTTCTACAGAGGAGCAGGTCAGGGCTCAGAGAGGTTAAGGCACTTGTTTGATACCACACAGCTAGCAAACAGCAGACAAGCGGGTTGATACCAGTGCTGTCATCTTTGACTCCAAAACGTGAGATCTCCACAAACAACCAGAATGTAAGAAAATCGTCACTTGTCCCAAGATGCTAACATCTAACAGAAGTACCAGAGAGCAGACGGGGCTCTGCCTTCCCTGTTGTCAATCCTAGAGGGACTTCCCTGTGGCTGAAGTGGCAGGTTTATTCCCATGCAGACTACAGGGAGTCAGCCCACTGCTCAGCCCAGGAGAGAGGGACAGTTAGCCTTGTCCACCCACAGGGTACCTTAGAAGGTACTGAGTTCCCTGTCCTTGGGGGTATGCAAGCTCCAGGGAGGATTCCTGAGCTCTAATCTTAAGCCCCCTTTCAGTGCTAACATTGTATGATCTTTGCAGGTTGAAACACATCCCCAAACAAACCAAAAACCTTCCCTGAACAATCATTTATTAATCATGCACAGCAGAGAGCACTGGGGGGAAAGTGTCTTTTGAGAGAAGCAGAAAGGAGCGTCCAGGGGTGACTCACACAGCTGGTCTTGAGGGTGCAGGGCGGAGGTCACCGTGCCAGGGTGGGTGACAGCAGAGGAGACCTGTGTGCTGAGGCAGAGTGGGACAAAGAGGCCGCAGACCACAGGGGCCAGGCCAGCCTGAGAGCCCGGGAGCCACGAGGAGTCCCAAGCCGCTGACTGATGTGCATTCTAGAAAGTTCCCCCTGACAGCCGAGCCGAGTTATGTAATCTATTCCTTAAGACTATTTTAGATCAGAAGGAAAATATAAGCCCTGCTTGGCTCCCGCTCGGCGGCGGGGGCCTGAGTCTGCATCGTGGTCCGGGGCAGAGGTCTCACCTGCGCGGGGACCGGAGGTCTCCGGGTGCCCTTGCTGGGCTACGGCCGGGCCCACAGGTGCCTGTGGTGGCCAGCACCCCCCAGGCTTGGCCGGAGCCACCCCCTCCCCGCCCCTTGCTCAGTCCCCGGCCGGCCTCACCGACAGATGGAGCGTTTGTTGACGCTCCGGTGACAGCTTGAAAACTCATCTCCTCCCTCGGCGCCGGCCCGTTCCACCTCGTCCTCCCATCTGCCATCTCATTTTAAAACTAGCAGAACAACTCGGCTAGAGCAATTCCGACTTTTTCCATCTGTGCCGAGTTAATTAAGAGGGTAATGAGAACTGGGGATGAACGAGGCCTGCATTAATTCAAGATATGATTAAGAGAAACATTTCTAAAATATATATGTGCGTGCAGAGAGCCAGGCCCAGGCACGCGGGTGTGCACCCAGGCCGCGCCTGCCGAGTCTGCAGAGGCCTGGGCCCGACAGGAGGGCTGGAGGGCCAAGGGGCCTGGCTGCTTGCAGCTGGAGCCACCACCTGCCTGAGCTCCCAGGAACAGGCCCCTGTGGTCCCAGAGGAGAGAGGGGACCTCAAGAGTCTGCCTCTCACGTGGTCGATCCACAAACTCTGTTCCTCCTCTAGTGCCACCGGAGCCGGGGACAACAGCCAGGGGTACCGAGGGCTTCTCTTTATTAAGAGTTCCATCCCAGACATGGCCAAGCATTCTCCAAACACCAACAGATGAAGAGCCAAACCCGTGTATAGATGATCTTGAATTCCCACCAGCCCCTATGGTGCAGGTACCATC